ACACTTCCCACACAAGGAAATTCCCTCCCACCACCCAACCTCCCACACACACACACACACACACACACACACACACACACACACACACACACACACACACACACACACAGCCCCATTGAGCCCACAGAACCCCACCCTCTTCCCTCATAAGACATCAACCACACATTTCCCTAAAATTAGGCTTTAAAATCTGTTTAAACTATTCCATTTCCACTAACAAATCTTATTTTATTTTAAATACAGATGTCCTTTTATCAAGCCTCTGTTTACTTTCCTAAATGGATTTACTCTCACTGATCAAGCCCTCTTTTGTGTTAAGACCAAACATTACCACCAACCAAGCTGTAAAAACATTTGTTGGGTCCTTTGCTCCTTTCCCGCGCTGTAAAAGTATTTTACTATTATTCTTTGATCAGCACCCAGAAACCTTCCTAACCATCCTTCCAGAAAACAGCAAATCTTCTGCCCTCTTTTGTGTTAAGACCAAACATTATCACCAACCAAGCTGTAAAACCATTTGTTGGGTTCTTTGCTCCTTTCCCGCGCTGTAAAAGTATTTTTCTATTATTCTTTGATCAGCCCCCAGAAACCTTCCTAACCATCCTTCCAGAAAACAGCCAATCTTCTGCCCTCTTTTGTGTTAAGACCAAATATTACCACCAACCAAGCTGTAAAAACATTTGTTGGGTCCTTTGCTCCTTTCCTGCGCTGTAAAAGTATTTTTCTATTATTCTTTGATCAGCTCCCAGAAACCTTCCTAACCATCCTCACAGAAAACAGTCAATCTTCTGCCCTCTTTTGTGTTAAGACCAAACATTACCATCAACCAAGCTGTAAAAATATTTTTTGGGTCCTTTCTCACATTCTAAAACAGACAGTTTCAAATTCACACAAACAAATTCACAACCCCAGAACTTTAATTTAAAAAAACAGACACCCATCCTTCACTTTCTCCTAACACCTATCCCATCAGACACACACACACACACACACACACGAACACCAACCCAAACACACGCGCACACCTCCACACACACACACTCACACACACACAAACGCACACACCTCCACACACACACGCACACACACACACACATTATCACCCCACCCTTCAGAATGTGAGTGAAACAGCTAATGATTTGCACTGAGGGTTTAAAATGTGTTTAAACAATTATATAACTGTTTTTTCGATAAGCAACTTTCATCTTCCTAAACAAAGTTTATTTTATTTACAGCTTTTAACAAAGCACCCTTGACTCAGAGAAAGTTTGCAAATTGTAAAATCACATGCCTGCACGTTTCCCCGCATTCTAAAACAGACAGTTGAAAATTTATACCAAGGACCTTTATTTTAAAGGAATAGTACACCCAAAACATGATTAGCCTTCATTTTCTACTCACCCCCATGCTGAAAAACACTCTGGAGTACTTTTTTGATATC